TAAAACTGATATCTGTGTTTTTAGTTTGAGTGTAATAACTCTATATTAGTGTGGCCATGTGACCTTTTATGTATGGTCTGCTATCTTGTGGAACAATCTATGTTTATGCAAAACTATGTAGTTTCTAATGCTCATGTGATGATTTGTGACTTATTGTGTTTAGTTTATTTCTTCTATGATCAATGCATAGTTGAAACAATATTCATGTTTTGGTGTGTGGAAAATAAGTTGCTAATAATGAGTTCTTTGTTTTATGTACTTTATGATTGTTTAGTTTGCTTAGCTCCTTTACATACTCTTTAGTGTCATTGATTCTATTTGACAGGGGGAGCTTTTGGCATACATTTTTTATTATCTGTGCTCATAAGCAGGGGGAGCATTGCTCCTATCTTTTATTTTCCCCTTTTTGATGTTGTCAAAGGGGGAGAAAAATCCACAATCCACATATAACTCATCTTATATAGCTCATATATTTATTCATATTCATATATGGTTTATGTGCTCTTTCATGTATGATTTATCTATGTTTGGCTTATATGTGGGTTATCAATTTATAATTCATATTCTTGTATAAATTGTTTGCCATCATCAAAAAGGGGGAGATTGTTGACCCTATAGTTTTGATGATGATTTGGCAAACAATTTATTACTAATAAGTTCTCTAGTGTTTTGTGTTTATGTTTCTCTTTTCAGGTATTTCAACACACGTCAATCCAGCGTTAAAGATTCAAGTTCATATGTGTGGATTTACCTAGGTATATGTTTAGTTTACTTACATATATTGTATGATTATATCTAAGCTCAATATATGTACACTTAACACGTTTTTTGACGTTTTCTATCAAATGAATGATTTTTCATCAAACGTCATTACAATAACTTTTATCTCATGTTTACAGCTCTTTCATACTTCATTATATACATATAATACATGCACAATACATATATGCATATTTACAAGCTCTATGTCAATTTTCAATGTTCACGAAAAACAGGTTTTCTGAACACTTTTCAGAAAACAGGGAGTTTTTACAAACAAAAAATTGACTTTTCCAAAAATTCTTTCAAAACATATTATTCATCATTTAGAAATTTTCCCCAAAGTTTCAACTAATCTATAAATTTTTTTGCATTTTTGATTTGATATTTTTACATGAATTTTTCAAAACAGCCCCCAAAACCTGTCAATATGCAGCCACTATCAGTTATCGGCGACCGTGCGGTCGACCGCCTGTTGCATTTTCCTGAGTTCAAGCTGTTTTGTGATCGGTCGACCGCCACCGGTCGACCGAAAGACCTCCAAGACTTTTCCGGTCGACCAAAAATTCCGTCGGTCGACCGCCAGCTCTAAACCCTCATTACCTGAGTTTTTGAACTTAGCGGTCGACCGGACCGGTCGACCGCCGTGGTGTCAGAACCTGTGTAACGGCTAGTTTTTTTGTCTGTTTTCCAACTGGGTTTTTGGTCTTTTTACTTACTTTTTGCTGTTGTATTGGGGTGCTATATATACCCCATTGCTGTTCTTCCTCTCTACATCTGAGAAATCCAAGTTTGGTGTTTAACAAAATATTGATTGTGTTTAAGAGCTGTTTAATAGTTGATTTCATTCAATCAGTTTTTCAAGAGAAGTTTTTCTACAACAAGAAGTGGCATTCAATCCTATTGGAATCATCTCTACTGTTCTTCTTGTTTGAGAAGTCTTCTAAACTCTTATATAGCTTATTATTTCATTTTCATTTCATTTAGCTATATCTATTGAGTTTCATTCACTATTATCACACACACTTATTGAGCTTAATATTTTCATACAATATAGTGTGGGTTGTGGGGTGTGATTTAGTGAGTGTAAGCTTCATTGAGTTCTCACTTGTTATTTAAGAACAAATCATTGTATTTAACTTTTATTTGTGAAAATCACTTGTAATACACTTGTACACCGAGAGAAGTGTGAGGCGAGACACGGGGTCGAATCCAATAGGAGTGGCGTCGATTGACGAACCTAGGGAGAGGTTGTAATCGAGCACTTAAGGAGGAGGACACGGAGTAGGTTCCTACACTTAGTGTGTAAAGTGTGATTGCATAGTGTTTGTGTAGTGTGAGAGTTTTTCGGTGATCTTGTAAACCGAGTGTGTAGAAGTTCCGGCTTCCAAACCGGATTGTGATAGTGGATATCTCCTCGAGGTGAGGAGCGGGGACATAGGGCGTGGTGACCGAACCTCGTAAACATATCGTGTGTTTGTGTTTTGCTTAGCGTATTTTTATTCATCTTTATTGTTCATATCCATATCATATTTCTTCTTGCAAGATCAAATTGATCAACACAATTTTAATTAGCTTTTAATTGGGATTAGATTAGCATAAGACCCTAATCACCCCCCTCTAGGGGCTAACAATATCCAGTTGCAGAACCGCCATCCTCTAGCCGTCAGCGAGCCTGTCGGAGCCCCGAGATATCCCCGAGGCAAGATCCCGAACCTCGGTTATTTTTATTTTAATTCTTAGTTTTATCGTAAATTATTATGTGTAAGATCCCGTTACTTATTGACTCATCTTTACAATTTTTTTAGATATATTGTTAATTAAGTACGTGCATAGATTAATTATAATGTGAATATTGTGATATCATGTGTGGATTTATCGTTGAATGACATTAAAGAATTTTAAAGGAAATTGTTTTGTAAAAATATTATTTGAATTATTAATAAATAATTTTAAAGGAATTTATTTGGCAATGGAATCATTTTAGGAAAATTATATTAAGTTACAAGAATTTAATTCGGCAAAAGAATCATTTTTTGATAATTATAATAACTTAAAGGAATTTATTTTGAAAAAGAAATTATTTTGGATTAATAATGAGAAATAATTTTAAAAGAATTTATTTTAGAAAAGGAATTATTTTCTGAATTACATAGTTGCTGTTTATTATCACATTTCACGTTTTGCATTTATTTAGTGTATTTGACATGTCTGCTATTCATTGTCCATCTTGTGATTGAGAACCATTAGTAGTTTGTGACTTAGTGGCCTCGTGCGTCATGAACAAACTTAGTGACATGTGTGAGTGTATTGACTGAGTTTAGGTGGTGAACCCGAGTTTCAATGTGGATTATGTTTGGCTTAGAAAATACAAGAGAGTTGAGATAGGGAAGTCATGGTTCATGTGATCGGATAAGACTGTTGATGTATCTTTCAGACTAGAACCAGTGAACCGTTTCGCACTGGGATTAGTTTGTTGGGCCAAGTGAACCGTTTTGCACTTGGTTAGTGAAATCGTTTCGTCACCCGAGTTTTGCTTGAGTTCGGACCAGGCCAAAATTGGATTGTGTGTAGTCTTCTCACCGAACTGTTTCGCGGGTTTGGATGCACGTAGGGGATTTGTGAACAGTCAATTATCCGATGATATGAGCGTTGGCTCTGTGTGAGATGTGACCAGTGATCTGTTGTAGAATGGCTAGTTACATGACCACGTTTCTTGGCTAGGTATGATTTCTTGTGAGATATAGGCCAGTTGTATTTCTTTTCATATATAGATCGGGGATAATATTTCATTATCAACAATTTGAGACATATGGTATTTACATGAGAGTTTCATTGTTTGGATTATTTCGCTCGACGTACTACGTCTTGAGTTGTAGATTTTTAAAGTATTAATTCCATCTAGTTGTATGACCTTGTTGCTGGATGATTATTCTGATCGCTAGCTGCATGACTTTGTTACCCGATTGACTTATGGATTCTTATGATTATTATATTTTAGTAGTGGATTGTATTTTGATTTTGTTGGATTTCCAGTTACATATTCTTTTGACATTTCTGTTACCATATCGTATTCCGCTCGGTTTTCGTTCGTCCTATTTGTTTTGTGGGATCTTGCCGTGTGCCATGCATGTTGACGTACACCTATTTTCTCTGATGTGCGTCAGACTTAGAGAAAGAACAGGTCCAGGTGGGAGATCTCCAGGAGCCAGAGGATTCTCAGCAGGAGTGCTTGCAGACAGAGTTGAAGAATATACCGAAGTAGTTATCTCTTCTTAGTTGATATTCTTAGTTGTTCTTGTAGTATTTTCCTTTCTATTACCGTTGAACACTGTATTTCGTATTTCTCTAGTATTCATTCGTTCAGATATGTATATAGGCATGTTTGACCCAAACTTATGTCTTGGATGATATTCACTTGTGATATGGATTATTTTGTTCTGAGTTTGTCTATTATATTCTTGCTAATTGTGATCGGGGACCTGTGACTTCGTATTGTATTTATTTCTAGACGCTTAGCGTATTAGGTTGAGGAGAAATGTTATTTTTATTTATTCTCCTTAATCTAATACGTCACGAGTTTGTTCACGTTCCGATTCCTGGGTATTTTGGGAAGCGGGGCGTGACAGAGCTGAAAGTACTTTCCACCACTTTTCTTAGTTTGATTCAACTTAAAAAAGAAGAAGAAGAAAACGATGTGTGAATAGATCCCCCTACTTTCTAGTGTTTGGTTCAAATGAAAAAAAACCCATGACTATGATCACCATTGTATGCTTACCACTCATATAGGATAAATTTATTTCCAATATAAATTGAGAGGTGAACATATATCAACCGTCACATAAAAAAAGTAAAAACTTTTGAGGGACTAATTTGCAATTTTTTAAAAACATTTGAGGTAGTGATTTATAAAACATTTAAAGCTTTGAGGTCTAAAATTCCGAAATATGACCACTTTTAAATATAAAGTAGTAATTTGTAAAATTATAAAGATTTAATGAAATTGAGGGTCTTTAATGAAATTTATAAAGATTTAATGAAGTTGAGGGTCTTTAATGAAATTTATCTCCATAATTTATCTCCAAAATTTAATGAAATTGAGGGTTTTCCTAGTCATCAAGCGCGCCTCCAAAAACCACCACACCAAGGTCGAAGACCGCTTGCGCCGGCTCGCGGCTTCCAGGCACATCCTGCCGGCGGTCTCGGGCACAAAATCCGACGACGAGAGCCATCGACTCTAGCATAAGCTCTCGTGCGGTCTCCTGAAGACCTCCAGCTCACCCGCATCCGCATGCCCGCCGCCTGCGCCGCTCGCGCCTCCAAAGACCTCCACAGCAGCGGCTCCGCACCATCCCAAGTTTTCCCCCTTTTCTCTCCACGGGTACGGCTCAAAATTTTCTCTCCACGGGAGCGGAAAACAAGCGCGCCTTCAAATCCTATGTGGCGTTTGTTTTCTCTTGCTCTTTTCTGTTTCAATCTTGCGAGCCAAAGATCAAAAAATGGGAGAAAACGGGGGAAACTGACACTTTTTTTTTCTGTGTCAGGTTTTTTTGGGCTTTTCTGCAGGTTTTTGACGAACCGAACAGGCCCTAAGGGTGTATTTATTTTTAGGATCTATAATCCACCTCTGGTAAGCTTTCAAACATGATTCAATAATCGTCAAAACTCCTAAAAAATTTTGTTTTGCTCTCTCACTTCAACCTCAATCTCGCTGCTGCTTCGAGAATCGCCGCTTCAAATTCGATCAGCGATCAGATCAAAATCCTCTCGCTCCATCTCCGGTGACCAGAAAATCCTAGTTAATTCCTAACCTTGAAAGCCTTCTCAAAATCTCACAGTAAGTCTTCAACTCAATTGCGAAAATTTGATCGTTATCGCCTCGTTCTCTGATTCGATATTTTGTTATCTTGAGTTTGATTGAGCCAGTTTTTGCAACTTTTATGCTGAATTTGTTTATTTTAAAGGATTTTCTGCTATATTTCTAGGGTTTTCCGTCCCGAAATCTGGGGGGAATTTTTAATTAGGCTATTTTTTGTGAGAATAAAGGCCCCTTTTCCTGATTTAATTGATGTTTGCTGGAAATGTATTCATTAATCCTTGATAACCTGTCCGGAACGCGCGAGTAATTTTTGAATCAAAATCAGGATATCAAACAATGTAATCAATAGAATTTGAATGCTGACAATAAAACCAAATTTGAACATGAAAATGAGAAAATTTGAGTATCATGACCATGAAATTGTACTTATCTGCAGTGGATGATGTAAATATGGAGGTTGAAGAAGAGAACGAAGAAGATGAGGACATTGACTTTAATCCGTTTCTTAGAGGAGATTCCCCTTCCGAAGCCTCTTCAAGTTTGAGTTCTGAGAATGAAGGTCCAACCGACAATGTTGAGAGAGAATTCGGGAGCTCATCAAATTTAAAAGATGCTAGTTTGTCATTTAGACAACCAGAGGAGATGCGAATTGTGATGCAAATGACAGCCCATCGAGGAGATGGTCTTACAGGCAGTCCAACGAAGACAGAGATTAACTTCCATCGATCAGGCAAGGAGAGGGCTTACCATGTGCCGCGTTGGTTTAAAACAAAAGGGTTGTCGTCTAGCATTGGAAGCAGCAGGGCCAACAATGAGACTGTAAATGGAACTTCTGGAAGATCCGTGGTTGAGATAGATGACGAGGATGCTATCTGCAGGCGTACAAGAGCTCGGCACTCACTTGCTAACTATACACTTGAGGAACTGGAGACATTCCTTCAAGAATCAGATGATGATGTTGACCCTCCGAACGTTGACGATGAAGAGGAGTATCGGAAGTTTCTTGCAGCCGTTCTGGTGGAAGGAAGTGATCATGAAAAGGAAGGTCAAGGAGATGAAACTGTTGATGAGGATGAAGATAATGATGCTGACTTTGAGCTCGAAATTGAGGAGGCACTGGAGAGTGATGTTGATGAAAATGTTGATTATGATGAAGGAAAGAATGGTAAGCAAGAGGGAGGTGGTTATGTGCCGGTGACTAGGCAGAAGAAGCGCTTAAAGGAATCTGCAAAAGACAAGAAAACTCTTATGGGACAAGCGAAGATGCCATTACGCCCTTTGGTGCCATATGAATCAACTGTACAAGCATCTGGTCTTCCATTACATGGATGGCCATTTTCATCTCCTATGGTTTTTCCTCATTGCACACCATATACTTCTGGCGCTTACATAAACACTGGATTTACAGCAAATCAACTTGGGCAGTTGTATTGTCTAATACACGAGCATGTTCAATTTCTTGTTCAGATCTTTTCACTTAGTGTTCTTGATCCTTCTAAGCAACAAGTTGCAAGTGAGATGCAAAAGCTGATGTCAGAGATGATTTCTATACGAGAAAATGCACTAGACCAGAGGAAACTTCCATACCCTGAATTCTGTTTTTATCCTCCTAATCTTCACTCCTCTGTGAGTGACTCCCACCAAGATGCTAATAGCTCCTGCTGGACGCCTGTCATAGACAGCCATGTAATGTCCATTCTTGATGTTGCTCCACTTTGTCTAGTGAAGAGTTTCATGACTGATGTTTCTGATAGTAGGTGTCTTGATGATGAGCTTTTACCTTTGTGTTTATATCACTTGTGGTAAATTTGGCTTCTTTATTCTTGATTATGATTTATGATAGGTGTATGGAGGCATAGGCAAAGCCATGTGGAAGATATATCTAATAAAAGCCACTCGATGAGGGTCCCTCTTTTTCCAGTGCCTGCATTGGAGTCTTCCAGTAATACAGATAACGATATTTCTGGAGGAACCGCCACTATGTCTTCAAAGACACATTCCACTTTTCCAGTTTTAGCAGATCAGACGCATTCTAAAAAGTCAATGGCTTCAATGCTTGTAGAAAGTACGAAGAGAGAAACAGTGGCTCTTGTCCCCAAAGATATTGCCAAAGCAGCATGGAGGTTTTATCCTTTATTTAATGCTGCACTTTTTCCTCATAAGCCTCCTGCACAAGCTGTTGTTAATCGTGTGCTCTTTACTGATTCTGAAGACGGGTGAGTTCATGTTTTACTTGTGCTGATGTGTAAGCTTTTGTTTGTGCTCTCTGTCCAATTTTTAGAACACTGAATGGTTTTTTGATTATATGCCATACCTTTGATTCTTAGGTTTAATAAGGGAGCATTTTTTTTTACTTAACTGGCGCCGCCTGTTGGCATACCTTTTTTTTAGTTTGTCCCTTGTAGATTTCTGCTAGTGTAGGAGAATTTGGAAGTCTGCTCCTTGGTTGCAGGAGCTGGAACTGCATGACTCTGGTGGCTTTTCCTACCATTTGACATGCCTACTAGGCCCAGTAGCAGCTCCTCAGTTCTCCTTTATTTTTAATAAGAATAAGCAATGTTTTAAGTACTGGTTATCAAAAATATATCGGATGGCCAAAATTCATATCAAATCCCGGTTATTGGGGATTTCGGGGATAAGTAGTAAAAATTAGAATGCCATGTCGGATAGTGAGCATATATAATATAATGTCCTCAAATTTAATCTAAGCACATTTAATGAAGTATCGAGAGAGTCTTCCTGAGAGGTCATTGATAGAGGTCTTCGAGTGAAAATTTGCAAGAGATTTGGGGAGATAACAGTGGAGGCTGAGAGAATTAAGGTTACACGATGAGTGGATGTAAAATAGAATAAAATAGCATGGTTTTTGTTTAGTGGATGCAGATCAGATAAGGAAAAAAGAGGGTTTTCGCCTCCAAACCCAAAGCCGTTCACTTAAATGGAAATTGTAAAAAAATCGTGAAATTTTTAACCTAGGAAAAATCAGCTGCTTTATCGGATTTAAACCTATATATCGGGACAAGTCAGCCAAAAACGATATGCAATAAATTTTTATAAAAATCGTATCGGCCATGGCCCGAACCCTATATATTGGAGATAAATCGATAAAATTGGCCTATTTTTAAAATATTGAGAATAAGATAACAGTAATTGTTCATGGAGTCTGATTACCATGTCGTGTTACATAGACCCCATTAGTAAGGCTTAGGGGATGATACTGAAATATATACACAAATGACTCTCTAAAATCATAGTTCTGAAATGAGCATGTGTTGAAACAAACCCAATCCTTGTCCAAGAAGTTATAAAAAGTTGCTGTGAAGTTGAGGATACACTTCCAGGAAGTGTATGATCAGTGTTTTAAATTAGAACATGTATTATCTAATTGAGTACACATCTGAATGTATTTATATAAATCCTTGCATATATTTGAGTATCCAAGGAGTGTCAGTGTCCAGTACGGGCACGGGAAGTGTCGGGTATGGGTATGGCTTCTTGATACAAGTGTCCATGCAACATAGTGTGTAGAGCAACGAGTGTTGTCCTTGTCTATATAACATCATACATTTAAGTTAAAATGTGGCTTACAATGCTTATACAATAGGTAATGCCTTGAAGATGTGAATCTGGTATACTATCCACATTTTCTCACATCATCCCGTTGTATGATTTGAAAGATTCTTTAAAACAAAATAGACTATTTATTTTTATATTAATTGGTCTTAATGATTCATAGATGTTCTATGTTCATCTTTTGAGACCCCATACAGGTTACTGGCAATGGGGATACTGCAGTATAATAATGATTGGGCAGCAATTCAGCAGCGCTTTCTTCCTTGTAAATCTACTCATCAGGTTTGATTCAATTCCTGGTCTGAATCATCACAAGACTGGATTCTGAAAGTTCACTGATGATGATGTATTTTTGTTCTTGCTCTGTTTTTTTTGTGTGCACAGATTCTTTTTTATTTGTTAATATTGGTTTATATTATAATGCTTACTCTACCTTCTTTAAATTATCCTTTGTAAACTAATAAGAAGTGGTTATGGAGAGTATGTGATAGTTTTGGAGCTTACTTGCAGTTATAAGATGTATAAAGATATCTTTTTAGGATATTACGATTCAAGTTTAAGAGGAGAGCAATCAAAGGAAAGACTTGTTTTGACAATGTTGTCGCCCAGACATGGAACGCAGTCTCTATTCCAGTTGTTAATTTGCTGCAGATGTTAACCATAAGCCATAGTTTGATGTCATGTATAAGCATGAAGTGGGGCCTAACTGGATGTGGGGCTGCAAGGTTTTCAATTAGGTATGACATTTGGCAAATGCATTGCAGCGCTTGGCAAAATTGCCAGGCATTGAAATAAAAAAAACCCTCTCCTGAGGTGCTCAGGCATAATGCTTTTCAAGCGATTGGAGACTTTGTGTCAAGACCAGAAGGCGTGGATGTAAAAGTGTGCAAATTTTCTTTATAGACTCTTTAAAGGTACATCTTGGGGCAGGTGGGAAAAAATGCATGAACTTTACCATTCTACCACCGGAACTAATGTGAAAATGCCACAAGCATTACGAGCATGCTCACACTGAAGAAGTCATGACATCATATGCCATAGATATTACTCTTATGCTCACACACCCAAGAATTGCTGACATAATATACCATAATTGCACATACTAATGCACAGATGAAGCATGCTAATATAGTATAAAATAGTATAATCACAATTTTTTAATATATGACTATTCTCACGAGCATGTTTTCCAATGTCTTGAGTGCACTACAGAGATGAATGCAACATTGCAACTCCCAAGTTTTTATCTTACAACCTTTACCCCGCTATGCAGACCCTCATCTTCCTCCTTACTCTTCAATATTTTTGTCTTAATTTTGGAGATCATAGATGATTGCTCCTTGGTTTTACGAGTTCAAACTGTGTACATAATGATGTGAAGTTTCCCATTCATCAAGTAGCATTTAGGTTCTATGATAAGCCCCTCTATTTATTGCCTATAGTTTCCTTGCTGAATTTGCCTAGTTCAAAGTGCTGGTGTCATTTAACAACTGCTACTGAATTGGTGTAATTTCTCGTAGGGCCTTCTCAGTTTAACATATGATGCATACCTCATCAATGTCGAAACTTGAAAGGACAGCAGGGGAGACTAAAGGACTTCAAAACAATGCTTTACATATCAAGGACCCAAAAAAGGGGTGGGTTGGGTGAGAGTTAACTTTTGTGTAGATTGGTAATCAGTATAAGAACATGGTGTGGTTCTTCTAGTGGATTATCATGACTGGAAGACAACACAGGCAGAATAAAAGAATGCACACTTGCGATTAATAAGGGTGTGAATAAGAGGCAGAAGGAAGCTTAGGGATTCACATAACAAAGTAAAAATAGAAAGAAATATGTGCAATGAAAGAATAATGCAGAATAGATAATAAGTCCCAGTTATTGTACATGCTATTGCTGTGGGAAGCTTTTGTTTTTAGCATAGAGATAAGATCCTATCTATTGATCGAAATTATAGAAGTTCATAGAAAATAATTCATCTATGGGTAACCAGCTTCCTAAGAGAGTAATCAGCACAGAAGGGTTCCAAGAAAAGGTTTATACAACAATTAGTTCCTTTGTTCATTATTAAAACTTTTTCATCCAGTTGACATTTTTATGAGGCAGAACGATCCATGTAGATTTGACCAAATTTCATGAATGGTAATCAACCTTATGTCAGCTGTCTAAGTTGGTGCAAACTCTTTGCAGATGAGTACCGCAGGCAAGATTGGCTAGCAGTGAGTCCTAGCATTCCAGCCAACAGTTAGAAAAACCGGAGTAACTTTCTAAAATTATCCTTGACTAAAAAATAGTAGGAGAATATTATAGGTTTTTTTGTAGGGAATCACATACTGGTCTAAATAATGTGAGATAGGTGAAGAAAATATATGCTTCAAATATATGACAACCGCATGTTGTTAATAAGTGGTGAATCTGACAGCCAACACCAAACCTTAAAAGAACTCAAATTTAGCAGGTCGAGGTGCCATATACAACTGGAATTAGTTAGCATTCATCGCAGCTTGCCGTATATAGAGGTGCGGCAGAGACGAGCTAGCAAGAAGGGGAAAGAAGATACATTATGATGATTGAAAGAGATATTCGTCACATTGTGAAGAATATCTGACCGATAGTGATGACAAACCAAAATTAAATTCTATTTGTCTTATCTGTTATATTCGAAATATAATGATATTAGTTAATTATAAATATACTCAAATCTTTTGTAGTCCTAAATTTAATCTTATCAGGACTCATTAGAAGAAATAAATTGTCAGCTGAAAATCCCAGAAGTGGTCCAGCTACTTACCGTCCTGCTGCCCTAAATATGATATCCGAGACAATGTTAGTTTTTTATTTGATATTCATTTTCAAATGAATTTCTACCCCCAACAACCTAATGTTGAAGATTGACTCATATGAGGGATGGTTTTAAATTTATCAAGTTCAATTTATCCAAATTAAATATACTGGAGCTTAAAGCAGGAAACTTCAAAAATTAATGGATATTGCATTATTAATCTTGTTGCCTCAGTGGTTGAGGACTTTATATGACATTTGTTCTTTAATTCCATTAAAAGAGATAAAGTTATGACATGATATAAGTAGACATATCGATTTGTTGATTAGTTACCTATGTTTGCATCTGTAACATATCATGTCTATTTTGGAAATAAATGCACAAACATGCTGTAGTGCTTCCTGAAGTTAGTAGACTGGCAAATCCCAGTCCTGTGCATTGTTTTTGTCTTGTATTTTACGCTTGTGAATTTTAGCTTCATATACAATCATTTATACTAATTCAATGTTTTTCTTATTGGTTGTAGATTTTTGTTCGGCAGAAAAATCGCAGCTCTTCCAAAGCACCTGAAAATCCTATAAAAGTAAGCATTCCGTTCAGACGTTAATGGGATACTAGTTCATCAGTCTGTTCTTAAATTTTGATTTCCTCTCTGTGAACATATTGTTTAATATGAAGTGCTTCAACTTATCTTGCAAATATCCACTTGGAGCAGTTTTTAGTGTTCCTTCTCTGGGAGTGAATGGATTTTTTAAATTATTTCTTTGCTGAAAAGAATGTCCTAGGTAATTATTTGTACATCTTTCAGTTAGTCTGCTTAATTTCTTACTTTTGTTTTGTCATTTATGGGGTTGCTTTCTTAACGTCCTAGCATCATCTAATCATTTTAAACAAGGTTGCTGATAGCGGATCGCGGCGCGTCGCGGCGAGGTACCGCTAAGGCTATATCGGGCTATTACGGCGAAATCGCGGCAAATAGCGCACAGTCAAATAGCGGTCAAATTTAAATATATTTAATTATCCTAAATAATAAGAAAATTCATAAAAAAAATCTAAAAATTTAATTAGTTGTAAATTTCTTGTATTATCAATAAATAACAATTAATAAGCTTGTTGTATGAATGAAACTATGAAGAAATTCAAGAAATATAGCATCATAATATGTGTGATAGCGGGTTTAGCGGGTTTAGCCGCTTTTAACAACAAAAATCCGCTTTTAACCGTGAAAATCGGCTTTTAACCGCGAAAACCCGCTAAAATCCACTTTTACGCGCTATTCGAATGAATAGCGGATTTTCCCGCTTAAGCCAGCCGCGAAACCCCTACGCGTAGCGCTGAAGGACCGCGACCGCTATTCGCGCCGCTATAGCCCCGCTATTGGCCGCTATTTACAACACTGATTTTAAATAGTCCGTCCTAGTTACAACCACACCAACAGAATAGTTGTGTTAAGGATGGAGTCTCTGGCCATCAGTACTCTTAAGAGTTCCCTCACTCCCTTGCTCCCTCGCTTCCCCCTTCCCCTCTCACGAGTAAAGAATTCATCAAAACACCCCTATAGAATGGGGTGATCTAATTATTCACTGATGGTTAAGGGTTTAGTTTAGAAATTTTATCTATTCTGTCTATGGTGTAAATCACTCCATGCCTATAGGGATGGTTCTGATAGAATTCCTACTATTCCCTCCCTCCCTCGGAGTTAAAGATCGATCTCTGTTTAGTAAGTTACTGTCAAATCCTTTTTTGTTATACATCAAGTCATTTGGCTCTTTGCTTGATCCTTTCTTTCCTTGCAACCACTATTTATGTTCTTCTAAAACCGTGTTTGGCAAGAAGAAACTTTGAAAACTAAGAATCCGATTTTCTTAAGATTTCATTATCTACTGTTTTAAAGGAAAATGGAGGAGAATTTAAGGTATTAAAAGAAGTCATGGTTAGCCTATTGTGGCATGTAAAAGGCAATCATAATATGTATGCTATGGGTGCCTACTCTTTCAAAACTTGATGATCCCCCCTTTTCTTTTAAAATCACTAGAAACTTGTCCAGCATGGCAACTAGTTTCATGTCATTCTTTAAAACGTTTAATATAGAAATTTAGTGAGGAATATAAATAAATTATCCTTGAGAGGAACTCCCAATTTACCCATTTGCCATTTTCCTCTCAAGAGCATTTTACTTATCTTCATTTATAGGTTGAGGGATCCATTGGGGCTAGTTGAAATTTTTTTAAGTGGTGGGT